TTGTTATTTGTAAGATTGAGGTACATCCATTCTGCTTCTAAAATGATGGCCCCTCTTGCCAGAACTTTGCCATCCTGATGTTCTGGTAACATGGCAATAGTCAGCAACCCAAGCAGAGAAATTGAGGTGGGTAAACAACGGCTGTAAAATGAAGCAAACAGACAGGGCTATGGGGAACAGCTTCCTGACAAACCTCATTTTTCAGTGTTTGCATTCCTTCGCTCTTCAGAGGACATTTAAGATGACTCAAATTATAAATGGACATTGGTGCAGAGACTTCTATAATATAGCAAAAAATAGTCTACCAGCAATGTCTGACTTGTCAGGTCCACAATCCTGGAAAAACTCTTTGTCTCCAGCTGGAGACACCTATAGCTGGATTTCTTTCTAACTGCCGCCGGGTACAGGTTACCAATATATTTTTGTTATTGCTTGTATGTTTTCTGATGGGCTGAAACTTTTCCCTGCTGCAAGGCTGATGCCCTCACTGTGTGGGGAGAAAACTGTTAAAAAATGTGTTTCCCACTTGGGATATACCTTCTGTAATCTCCAGTGATTGGAGCATTCACTTCATTGGACAAATCATACAACCCTTAACGAAAATCTTACAGATTTCTTGGAATCCCACCAGTGTACAACCTTCTGCCAATCGCTTGTCTCATGCTAGTACGCCCAGCTGCTGTAAGCTGCTAAAGTCTTATGCTCACGCCTATCACCAACAAGTTAAAGAAGACTTCCCAGATCCCAATTCAAAGGAAATTGTTGGTCACATTCTAGAGCCTGGTGACTGGGTATTTTAGAAACATTGTCGGAGGAAGACAGCCCTCGAGCCCTCTTGGAAAAGACCCTATCAAATGTTCCTGATGACTAACACTGTTGCAAAACTAGAAGGCACTGACCCTTGAGTCTACATTACACAGCTAAACAAGGCTCCGCTTGACATCTGGTCCCGTACAGACACCTGCTGTGGCCAACACCACCTGCTATACCTGGATTAATACTTCTGGGAAGTTGAAACTCAATTACATAAGAATGCTGAGTAAGCTACTTGGCTTGAAAGAGTAATCCCTTCAGTGGGGTCTTTCTTTGACTTATTTAATTTTGATTGGCTTGGGCCTTAGGGACCATGGCTTCGAAGGGCACACCAAATATTGGGAATTTTCCTGTTTATAGTAATCATGATCAACTTCCTGCCGTGTTATGCTCTCTCAAAAGCTTTAAATGGGTGTTCATTGCCACTAACCACCAAGCAAATGATCTCTCTGTGACTGAAATGTCAAAAAAGGAACAAAGATGACCAACTGAAAGCATGTGAGCCTAAAGTCATAACCTGTGAATATCACAGCGATTGAGCAAAAACATCCTGACCTATGAATACTGCCCAAGGGATCAACAGAAGCTGAAAGAACTATAGAGCATAGCCGAGAGTAGTGCTAATACCTTAAATTTTGAGCCCATCTCTCAGTTAAGCAGCGATTCTTTTTTTTAATGTATTTTTATTTTTATTTTTTAATGCTAATTTTATTTTATTTTATTTTTATTTTTTACAAATAGTTTATTGTCAAATTAGTTTCTACATAACACCCAGTGCTCATCCCCACAAGTGTCCTCCTCCATGCCCATCCCCCCTCCCCCCCCACATCCATCAGTCCTCAGTTTGTTCTCAGCATTCAAGAGTCTCTCATGGTTTGCCTCTCTCCCTTTCCCCCACCATTTCCCCCCTTCTTCTTCCCCATGGTCCTCAGTTAAGTTCCTCCTAATCCTCCTACACATGCAAACATATATTTGTCCTTCTCTGCCTGACTTATTTCGCTCAGCATAACACCCTCAAGGTCCATCCATGTTGCTACACATGGCCAGATTTCATTGTTTCTCATTGCCATGTAGTTTTCCATGGTATAGACAAACCACATCTTCTTGATCCATTCGTCCATTGATGGACACTTAGGCTCTTTCTATGTTTTAGCTATTGTTGAGAGTACAGTTAAGCAGAGATTCTGATCAAAAGGGAGTTCTTGTTGAAAAGAAAACCACAGGACTCCTGGGGGGCTCAGTCAGTTGAGCATCTGACTTTGGCTCAGGTCATGATCTCACGGTTCATGAGTTCAGGCCCCACAGTGGGCTCTGTGCTGACAGCTCAGAGCCTGGAGCCTCCTTCAGATTCTGTGTCTCCCTCTCTCTCTGCCCCTCCCCTATTCACGCCCTGTCTCTCTCAAAAAAAAAAAAAAAAAAAAAAAAGTTGGAAAGAAATTTAAAAGAAAAAAAAGAAAAGAAAACCACAGGCCCCAAATGGCTTCACTTAGGTTCAGGTCCCAAGCCAGTAAACCAAGACTTAATACCCAACCTGACTGCAGTCTCAACCCCCTAGAAATTTAACATTTTACTAGTCAGCGTGGGAATTTCCTGGTCAGCCCTAGGAAACCGACTGATACACCCTTTCTATTCCTCTTAGGAGGGTGATGTTGCCCAAAACAATAGATTCTTTGTTAATGATTTCCTTTTTTCTGCTCCTTGTTTCCCTTTAAAAACCTTTCCTTTTCTGCAGCCCTTTGGTGATCCCCTCTACTTGGTAGATTCATGAATCAATTAACAAAGCCAATTACACCTTTAAAATTTACTCCATCTAACTTTTGTTATTTTTAAAAAAATTTTTTTTTAAATTTTTTTTTAATGTTTTATTTATTTCTAGGAGAGAGAGAGAGAGACAGCATGAGCAGGGGAGGGTCAGAGAGAGAGGGAGTCACAGACTGAAACAGGCTCCAGGCTCTGAGCTGGCAGTCAGCACAGAGCCCGACGTGGGGCTCGAACCCATGAACCGAGAGATCATAACCTAAGCGAAAGTCGGACGCTTAACCGACTAAGCCACCCAGGCGCCCCTAAAAAATTTTTCTTAATGTTTGCTTATTTTGAGAGAGAGAAAGAGAGAGAGAGAGAGAGCATCCGTAGGGGAGGGGCGGACAGAGAGGGGGACACAGAATCTGAAGCAGGCTCCAGGCTCTGAGCTGTCAGCACAGAGCCCGACAGGGGGCCTGAACTCACAAACCATGAGATCATGACCTGAGCCGAAGTCGGACGCTTACCCAACTGAGCCACCCAGGCGCCCCTAACTTGTGTTATTTAACACCAGGATGTGGCCCATCTCTGACTCAGACCCGAAAGTATTGCTTCTAAAGCTTCTGCCCTTACTACTTTTTATGGAGAAGGGAAAATATATATGAACGTTCTAAGCACAGAGCCTAGGATCACAAAAGTGAAACATCGTTTCATGCTGTCGGCCATTGACAGAAGAAATTCTTCTCCATCTTCTGTCTTACCCAACCCCCTTAGCTTAAGACTAACCAGCATTCCTGCAAGAAGAGAGAACCAACGAGCAGGGGAGGGGGGGCAGGTGGGTGTGTGTGAAGGCTGGGGAGGGGCATGGCTGGGCAGTTTCCCTGCCTGGATAGCTGGGTGGGAAGCTGTGCCGGAGGCTGAATAGGGCCCAGTAGCCAACTGGGTCCAAAGGCTAAAACTGCCTGCTTTTCAAAGTGTCCTCTGTATGCCCTAGACTGAGCTTCAGGAGTGTGCCCAGCGCTGTCCCCCACCTCCTGCCACACGGCTGTTGCCTGTTCTCTGAGCTCAGAGAGCAAACAGTCCTGGCCCCTGGCAACCATCACACACCTCTACTCTCCAGGATGGCCATGGGAAGTTGGGGGAGGCATTCTCAGCCTCTTTTAGCAGGAGCCATCTGTGGGGACAGCAGCCTGATATGCTCATGTGACCAAAGCCCTACTCAGCTGTCATCCCAATGGTGGTGTCCCCCGTACCCTCTAGCCTCCAGCAGCGAAGACCTCCTGGGGATTACAGAGCCTCAGATTGTTGGATCAGGAAGGGCCTTGTCTAATGCCCTGGGCAACTCTGTTCTGACCTTTGCCAGCCTGGATTCTAAAGCTTAGAAGGCTTGTTGGTTATGGGAGACCAACCGAGCTCTCACACTCGCTGATCTACGACCTGCTATGTGTCAGGGCTGGAGTCCCTGTGTCAATCAGGTGGGCCCAGCCCTCAGTGAGTACGCAGCGAGTTCGTGGCAGTAACAATACATTCACATTCTTCCTGAATTCTTATACCATCATCATCTTTGTGGGTGACAGAGTGGAAGCTCAGAAGGGGGAAATGATTCATTCAAGACTCCTTAGCTGGGACTTAATGAAGATGGAGTCACACTCAGACCCCACCACCGTGCAGTCAGGGTCCGACGGCTCCTTCCGTGATTTCTCTACACCAATCGTCTTGCCCCATAGGTATCACACAGTAGGCGCCTAGTGAATATTTATGATGGAAAGGGGAAAAACAGAAGGACTCGAAGGGAAGGAGATGTGGGTTCAGAACCTTGTCCCTAGAGCTTTGCATGGGACCTTGGCGGGGTGGGGGGAGAGTCTAAATCTCTGATGGGCATTTACAGTTGATGATAATAGTAACTCTCAATTCATAGCTCTGATGCTGGGAAGATGGGTGAGACTCCATGAGACCATGAGCACAGAGCCTGGTACACAGTCAGCCCGGAAAGCGTGTTGGTGTGGAAAAGAGAGGGAGGGAAAAAAAGAAAAGAAAAGATAAGAGAGAGGGAAACATATCCAAAATGGCTTGAGACTGTTTAATAGGAGTTTCACCTTAATGGGCCTCAGGTTCTTGTATCAAATGCGTTCATTTATTTAAAACAACTGCTTTTTCTGTAGCGCCTACTATGTGCTCTGTATCAGGACACTAGCCTCCACCACCAGCCCTTCAACAGGGATCTACACGCGGATCCACCCGCCCCAAATCTAACCACTTAATCCCAGGCTCCATCGCTTCCCTGTAGGCCCTGCCCTTCGCTCTCCCGGCATTACAAGGAGACCCAGGGGTCCTGGGCCCAGCCCTCGCCCCACCGCAGCCCTGCGCTCAGGCCCCAGGGGGGAGTAGGGGAGGGAGGAGCAGGACCCGGGTCCGGTCGCAGCTGGTCTATAGCTGCGCCAGACCTGGAAGTTGCTCAGGTTCCTGGTTCCCACCGGGGCCAAGAGTGACACCTGACCCCGGGGGATTGTGAAATGGAGTGAGGTGGCAGCCCGCCCGCCGGGGCCGCTGAGCCCTCTCCCCCCGCGAGCGTCGCCCCACCCCTGCCCCACTCTGCCCCGCGCGCGTGGTTAAATCCCCGCACCCGGGCGGCGGTTCACACCTGCACCCCTCCCGGCGCAGCACCATGCCTGCTCGCCGCCGCGGCCTGCCCGCCGCCCCCCTCCTCCTCGGCCTGCTGCTGCTCTGCTTCTCCGCCATCCCAGGTGAGCGGGGCGGGGTACCCCGGCGCCCAGGGCGGGGGGGGGGGGGCGCTCCCGGAGCGCCAGGGCAGGGCCGGGCCCAGGTGCACGTAGCTTCTCTGGGAGCTGGAGAAATGGAGGATTCCTGGGGCGGAAGTGGGGAGACCCGCGAAGGCTAAAATTCGAGGATTCCCTGGTCCCTGGAGGTGGTGACTCCTGGAGCTGAAGGTGTGCGGTCCAGTGAGCTGGAGGTGGGGGACACCAATGGCGGCTGAAATTTGGGGCAGACCCTTTGTGCCGAAGGTGGAGACTTAGTTGCGGGGTGGGGGGAGAAGGGTCGGGGAGTGGGGGGAGGAGTGGAACCCTCTGCCGAGACATCGGAAGCTCCTAGATGCTCAGATGTGCGGGGGTCCCCCGAGGATTGAGGGCTCTGAGGACAAGGCCCTGTACTCACAAGTGTCGGGGGCCCCGGGCCTGGAGGGGGGCCCTCTGAAGGCTTTAAGGGGGGGGCCTAGGGGCAGAGACTGAGAACTCCTAGGAGCTTGAGATCTGGGGCCCGGGGAGCAGGAGGCGGGCGTCTTCCGGGACTAAGGCTTCTGGCCCCACTGACCGTGCGCCTCCCAGGCAGAGAAGCAGAGAAAGCGGGCGTATGCCCCCAGCTGCAGGCGGACCTGAACTGTACGCAGGAGTGCCACTCAGACGCCCAATGCGCCAGCAACCTCAAGTGCTGCCAGGCCGGCTGCGCCACCATCTGCCACCTGCCCAACGGTAACCCCGGGGCGCCCCGTGCGGGGCGGGGAAGGGCGCGGCGGGCTGGAGGAGGCCGCGGGCAGAGATCGGGGCAGGGGGGGCGCTCCCGCCGCACCCCAGGGACCCCTGCGGAGTGGAGACAGACGGAACCAGCTCCGCGCTCTCTCGCGGGGCCCGGGGGGACAAAGGCGTCGCTGAAGCGCAGCGGGGGAGCGGGGGAAGGGAAGTCCCCCACCCCTGGCCGGATTCCATTCCCTGGTGCGTGACGGGCTTCCGGGCAAGCACAGGCCGGGAAGGTGTTGCCGGAGGTCAGGGCACCTAGTTCGCAGTTTCCTTCCCAGCCGGTTGGAGCCGCAGGGAAGCCCGGGGCAGGCGAGTGGGCTGGGTCCCAAGACCTTGGGCGCTCAGCGCTCTCTGAGTCCCTCCCCTGGTGCCTCCCCCAGCGCTGGGGGAAGGGCTTGGAGCGCCCCGCCTGGCAAGACTCCCCGGCTTCCTCTGTCGAGGCGGAAAGACACTTTACAGAATTAGCAGAGCGCCTAGCCCATCTTAAAGATGTGATTGTGAGCGGCAGAGAAAGGTTCTTGCCCAAGGTCACACCGTCACCGCGTGACTTGGCATGAGTCATAGCGAAGTTCAACTTTTGCCCCTTCTTGGAAGGCTGGTTTGAAGGAAGTCGGGACTCCTCCTAGAGCACCCCTCTATAAAACACCCTCTTCCACTGTAAGGAGAGAAAGAGCTTATGTGAAAGCCTGGGTGGTCCAGAAAAGGTCCTTCCTGGAGCTTACCCTCCCCACCAGGCAACCAGGAAGCTCATCAGAGCAGGGGGTGGCCTTCGACCAGATGGAATCCAAGCTTCTCATTTATCGGAGGGAAGACTGAGGGCGAGAAGCAGGGATATGAGCTGGGGTACCAAGGTATTGTGACTACTGGTCTTCACCCAGAATATAGCCCCTGCCGTCTTCCTGCTCTTTCTTCCAAGATACCAGCAGGGGCTGGGACCATTTATAATCAGAGACCTCAGATTTGTGAGCAAGGAATCGGGGAGGTAGAGGGAAGACTGGTCCATCAGCAGCTCCTGGGTCTGGAGGCCTCTAATCTGGAGCAGAGAGAGGAGGACCAGAAGGAGAGGTGGAGATTGAGAGAGAGGAAGCATGAGGGAGGCAGACAGACAGATGAGAGAGAGGTGCAGGGGGACAGGAGTGCCTGCCTGTTAGGTGCAGTCTTTGCTGGTTCCTTGCCTCAGATGGACAGACTGAGGCAGGAAGAGGGACGGAGCGAGAGGGCCTCCTGGACTAGGGTCTTAGTTCTGCCCTCTGCTGGTTGTGTGATCCTGAGCAAGTCGCTTTACCTCTCCAAGCCTCTGCTTTCTCATCGGCAAAATGGGGATGATGATCCCAAACTCTGTAGGATTACCATGGGGGCTAAATGGCATAACATACTAAAGATGTGTTTGTGGAGAGTAGATACTCTACACACATCGGCGTGTTTTGTCAGTAAACCATTCCTGATTCCCTTTTGTCCCAGAAAAGCTCAGCATCCAGATCTCCTGGCTTTTGCAAGGGGGTGGGTCTCTCTGCTAGAACGCTCCTGTCCTCTGCAGCTGATCAGCCTCCTCTGTGCCTGTGTTTGGCCTTTGGCTGGGCTTGCTCCTGGGGCTTCTGGGAATGGAGTCCCGCTCCCTTCTCCTTGACCCAGGAAGTTGAGCATAGGTTGTGTGTGTGTGTGTGTGTGTGTGTGTGTGTGTGTGTGTGTAAATGAACGGTGACTGCCTGGGCTCAGGTCTTGGTTTTACTTCTTACCAGCAGTGTGGTGTTGAGTGGTGCCTTCACCTGTCTGTGCCTCACTTTCCTGGTCTGAGATAGGAACAGGGTTAGAAGCAGCCCTGACAGAGGAAATACTTGATGTGAGGATTAGAGAGAAAATGGGTCTACACCAAGAACACTGTAAGCGGCACATCTCTGCGGTGCTGTGAGTGCACCGTGGATGAGTGGGGCGGAGGGGGGTCGAGGAGTGAGTGAAGAGACTGTGGGTGCACAACCCCTCATGCGTGCACAGCTTACGAAGCAGCAGGATGCACAGTGCACAGACTCTGGAGCCAGATTCCTGGGCTTCCAATCTTGCCTCCACCCAGTCATAGGCAAATTACTTAACCTCTGGGTGCCTCATCCATAACACAAGGAAATATTAACAGTACCTCTCCCTCTTATAGGATTATTGTGAGGATCAGAGAGGTTGATGTATGTAGAGTGCGTAGAATAATGCCTGGCGCACAGTAGGAGCTAAGTAAGTGCTAACTTATCGTTACTCATTCTTATTGCTGTCGCAAAGCAGTTTGGCTCCTCAGTGAGAAGGAGTGCTTGTGTATGGCCCCCAGGCTCCACCCCAACCCCAGGACGCGTGAGGCAGCTGAGCGCTGATCCTGTGTACCACCTGAGGACACAGCCTGTACCACCTGAGGACACAGCCGCTCCGGGGTGGGGTTTCTGCTCTCCAAGTTAGGCCACAGAGATAGGAAAAGGCAGAGCCGGGCCTCGACCTGACATCCTGTGATTCCAAAATCAAGGATGGAGGAAGCAGGAGGAGGAGGGGCGTGCAGACCGTCTCCCTAAGCGACCTTGGGATCAACTCAGGCAGCGGGCAGCTCTGCAGCTGGTGACACAGGGGAGGGCGCTGGGAGGTGGCGCTGTGGACAAGTGTTCATCTCCCGGCATCCCCTCCGACCACTCCCCCTTGCTCCTTTCTCCCCAGAAAAGCAAGGTTCCTGCCCCCAGGTGAACACTGACTTCCCCCAGCTCGGCCTGTGCCAGAACCAGTGTGAGGTGGACAGCCAGTGTCCCGGCCTGCTGAAATGCTGCTACAATGGTTGTGGGAAGGTGTCCTGTGTCACTCCTGTCTTGTGAGGTAGGTGTGGGAGGGGGGTGGAGTGCACTGATGCCTCCAGGTAAAGATGGTGGCCAAGGAGGACCTGGTTCATGTCTGTCCATTTATTTGCTTTCATCCACTCAGCAAGTATCTGTTATCTGTCATGTGCCACGCACGGCTCTGGGTGCTGAGGATGGCCCACGCATGGGCAAACCACACAAAAACTCCTCTCTGATGGGTTTTACGTGCTAATGGACAACAAAGAAGAATAAATAAGCGAGCGTGTCCTGTAGAACGTTCGAGGGAGAAAAGTACCCTGGAGTCAAAAGAAACAGAAAGGGGGTGGGGGAGGGGCAGGATGGGCAGGAAGCAGGGTTGGCATTTTTTTTCACAGGGGCGCTCAGGGAAGGTCCCACCCAGAAGGCAGCATCTGAACAAAGACTGGCCAGAACTTGAGGGAGGGGGGAGGGGGCGTGAGGCTCTCTGGGGGGAGTGTCACAGGCGAGGGGCAGCAGGTGCAAAGGCAGGAGCATCCCTGGTGTTTCAGGAAAAGCCAGGGGGGGGGATGGGAGCAAGGAGAAGGAAGAGGAAGGTCGGTCAGGGGTAAGTGGAGCAGCTCCTTTGGGGCCTGATAGGTCATTATAGGACTTTGGCCTTGACGCAGAGATGTTGCCGCCATGGAAATGGGCGTGCTTTGACTTAGATTTGAAAAGATTGCTGCGGCTGCTGGGTGGAGAATAGGCTGTAGAGGGGGCAGTGGAAGACGCAGGAGACCAGCTAGGAGGCTCCTGTGAGAGATCGGCTGGGAGGTGGCCGACCAGGGGAGGACGGTGGCTGCGTTTGGGACCTGTGTGAAGGTAGATGGGACAGTATTTGCTGATGAACTGGGCTGTGAGGGACAGGGAAGATTTACTCTGATTCCTCAGCATGCACTTAGAAAGTCTGCAGCCGTGTCCTGGGAAACGGGACAGTGGACAGTGCCGGCGGGGGGTGGGGGGGGGAGGCGAGAAGCTCTTTGCATGTGGCCAGTGGGAGGCGAAAGCCTGATCTTTAGTTTCACCAAAAGCTTGGCTTCTCAGGACACACATGACAGACAGGAAGTACATATTTGAAGTGTGAGGGGCACTCGCTCTGTAGCAGGCTGGGGCCACGTTTGGCCACCGCTGGTGGCTCTGCCCGTGCAAGGAAAGGGTTGTGGAGCCTCCCTTCCTCTGGCAACAACTAGAAACAAAACGATGTCAGGTCCTAGAGTAAGTGTGAGGAAGCAAACAAATACAAGACCCCAAGCATGTGTTTGGTTGGCCCCTGGGGAGGTCGGGCACTGTGCCCTGGTCTCGGGGCCAGGTGCCAGGACCCTTCCTCACAGGGCTTGCAGCCCCGTGGCTGTGGCAGAAGGATGGACGGACAGTCCCAGTGCCTGTCATCAGTGCTGCAGCGGGGGAAGGGCTGAGCGTGGGGGGCAACAGAGGAGGAAAGCCCCATGGGGTGGGAGGTGAGGGGGTGGCGGGAGGGAGCAGGCTTGGCAGAGGGATGGCCCTCCCTGGCCAGCCCTCAAGGATGACTAGAAGGTCATTTGTGGGGTGAGGTGCAGGAGGAACAAGAACCTGGAAGTGCCCTTTGGTTGAACTCTCAGTATTGATGGTGGGGCTCCCTCGATAAGCCCTCAGCCCAGGGATTGACCGGTCACTGGTGGGACCTGGTATCGCCCACGTGAGAGGACTGAGGCCACAGGGAGGGGAGGGTGTGCCCGAGGCCCTGCGGTTGCTATTTCAAGGCGTCCCTTCATTGCCTGGGAGGGAACCAAAGTCTCCACGGGCCCAGAGCTCTCCCGTGATGCCAACCATCTCCTGCGTCCCTGACTGACAGAACGTGGCTGGACTTTGTGGCCAAGAAGACCTGGGTGTGGATTTCACTTAACTGCCTCTGACACTTAACTAGCCTTTTTACCTCCCTGAGTTGCAATTATTTTGCTTGTAAAATGGGATCAATAAGACCTCCTTGACCAGCGAATCCCAGCTTTACCTAAGGAATGGAAGCATTCGCACTTCCTGGTGGCAGAAAGGCTCTTAGATAAGTGATGGCTGTCCCTCAGAAAGGCCCCACCAGTCAGTTGGGCCACGGGTACCCAGGTGTGTCCTGGGATGGTCTGAAGCAGAAGAGGTGAGTCTAGGACCTGCAGAGAAGTGCGGGCAGAGCCCCCAGGGCCTCAGGAAGGTGAGGCTGCTGTGTGTGTGTGTGTGTTGGGAGGGGAGAGTCGGGAGGGCTTTGCTCCAGAATTTAAGCTCTGTGTCTTCTTGTCTCGTATGTTGGGTATCGCTGTGGGTGTATTATTATGATTTTCTTCCTCCAGCTCCAGCCACCACAGCGCGAGGAGTGGGGGAGTGGAAGTTTCTGCCCGGCCCTGCCCGGCTCCAGCCCAGCCGCCCTCCCCTCTTTCTGGCCTCTGCACTCCCTCCAGAGCTGAGCACAGCTTCTGCCTTTTGCACCCAATAAAGTGACCATTCCCAGCACTGGGGGGAAGGGCCATGGCCTCCATTCTTAACCTTTCTGCCCCTGTCTCCCCTGACTCTAGATTGATGGGGGGGGGGGCCGGCGGTGGTGACCAGGTCATCCTGGCAAAAAGTCCAGGGAAAGATCAACTGAATCAATGAACACTTGCTCAGGCTCGGCTCGTGTACGGCTTGTGTAGCAGCGCTTTCTTTGGGAGGTTGGTCGTTGTCTTTTCCGCGGAGGGACGTGGAAGAGAGAACAGGCTCAGAGACGTGATGGAATGCTTCCGAAGTCCCTCCCGCTCATGGCCGGGCCCGCAGCACTTCTCTGTGCCCTGGACCCAGGGCTGGGAGACTTGCTTGTGAGATCTCCTGGAGCCAAAAAACAACCCTCAGTGTAGCTGATGACAGTCCCGTGTTCCAGACCAGGAATCCAGCCACTGACTTGCTTGCGGCCACAGGGACAGAAGTTGGCAAAGCTGGTGTCCTTTGATTGTTTTTCATCTATCCATTTATTTTAATGTTTATTTATTTACTGGGGGGGGGAGGGGCAGAGAGGAGAAGGAGAGAATCCCAAGCAGACTCCACGCTGCTGCTGGTGCAGAGCCTGACACCAGGCTTGAACTCCTGAAACATGAGATCACGATCTGATCCAAAATCAAGAGTCAGATGCTTAACTGACTGAGCCACCCAGGCGTCCCTTAACTGGTTTTTAAATCAAACCATTATTTTGTATAAATAATACAGTCACATGACCAAAATTCAAAAGGTAAAAAAAAAAAAAAAAACACCTCGAAAGGGTCTTTCATACTTGACTCCTTCCCCTGCCCCTCCCCACTATGGGGGCAACCAATTCTGCCAGTTTCTTATGTGTACTTTCAGAGACCTAGCTCTGTGTCGGTCCTCACCCTCTCCACCCCTTTCTTTCCCACTCTTTCTATTTTCTTGTCCCCTCCCCCCATCCCTTTCTCTATTCTTTCTCTTCCCCTTGCTCTCTCTGTCCCTTTCTGTTCCTCCATTGCCTTTTTTTTTCCTGTCCCCCCCTCCATGCCCCTCTCTATTCCCTTCTCTCCGTGCTCCTCTGCCCACCCCAGGGCCGCTTTTACCTCCTTGTCTGCTCTACCCACTGTGGGATGTGAGAGATCAGGGCAGCTTGAGGGCAGTTGTGTGGAGAGAGAAGAGCTTGGTAGTTTGGTGTTTGGCCAGTCTTATCTTTCTCCTCTTCTTGTGGGTCCCTGCCCCAGGCCATGAGCCAGGCAAGACCCTAGGGCTTCTCCATCCACCCCGTTAGGGATGCAAGGTGAACACGGAAGTGTGGGTACTCAGTGCATAAGGCTGCCCCTTGGCGGTAGATGGCAGTGTACCTTTCTCTTTTCTGATTTCTGTCCCTGCCCAGGCTTGAGTCCCCCGAGCCCTTGCAGGCAGCAGCAAAGGCATCTAGAGATGGGCTGGGTAGAAGCCCCATAATGGGACCAAATGTGTGGCTGCCCTCCCCCCCTTCTCACTTTCCCCAGGTTTGTACGGGGAGAAAATCCTAGGCAGGGTCCCACCTAACTCAGGGATGGCAGAGGTGTGCCTTTGTACGCCTGCCGCCTTTCCCCTCCAGCACCCACATCGCACACCTGCGTCACTCATGCTCCTCGGCTCCCTAACCCAGGGCCCCAGGAGGCTGCGACCAGCTCCCTACTGCCCGGGGCCAGCAGGCAAATTTGCTCCTCCCGATTTCACTCAAGAAATGAAGTGCCACCTTTAGAATATCAGACTTGGTGGCTGAGATTTTACTGCATGAGAAGGCTGCCCAGGGCCACCTGAGTAGGGATCTGAGGAAGATGGACCCTTGCGCCCTTCACCAGAAACTTGAATGGGGGTGGGGCTTTTTCAAGGGGGTCCTGGCCCACGGGCCTCCTGGGGAAGATTAAGTGGGGAGAACCACTTACATTCCTTGGAGTTACCAAGGATCCTAGTGATGAACAGGAAGAATCTGCTAGAAAAAGAGGGTTAAGGGGTTGAGTGGGTCACATGAGAAAATGGGTGGGTTTGGAGGAGCCCCTGGCCCAGGAGATTTCTTTGATCAACTTTGCTATTGAGTGGCTGCTGCTGGTCAGGGACTCTGAGGGTGTTTGGTTGAGGGGTGTGAAGAGGAAAGAAGGGGGAGCTGCTCTGAACAGGCCCCTTCTGCCCCTCTTCCAGGCCTCCATGTTATGTAGCCAGACCACAGCCGTGCTTAGTTTGGGCTAGGAGGGAGGTGGCTCCCGGGGCCAGGAGTGCTGGTAAACTGTTGGCTCCAGATGGGACTATCACTCTCGTGGAACCTCCTAGAACCCCTCAGTCCTGTTGATCCCCCACCCCCAGAGTTCAGGACAGGGTTTCTTCCTGCCTTTACTTTCTCTTATTTCCAACATCAAACTGCTTTTTGCTGATGCCTCTGCACCCTATCTCCAGCCCAGAGGGCTGTGTATGGTAACACCCATATGGAAACAAGCATCTCTTATGCAGGAAAGTGCAGGCTTCGGGTTGGACGGAAAATAGACGTTACACACACACACAAAATGAAGTTCTAAAGACAGGCCAGTAGAGGATAGCCCTAGTTGAGGACTAGCATAAGCAGAGGCATTTGCTCACTCAGTAAATATTTATTGAGTGCCTGCTATGTATAGGTGGCTCGGGGTTAGTATCAAGGAGGTTGTGTGTGTGTGTGCACACGCGCATGTGTGTTCCTGTGTGTGTGTGTAAGAAAGAACTCACACATGTATACCATGTCAAGTGGTAACACAAAGATGGGTAAGAGGACTGATGAGTCCCAGGAATGGGATAGAGGTGGGTGTGGCTTCTTTGTAGAGGGTGTTGAGGGAAGATCTTTCATTAGGCGTCATTCAAGTACTGAGTAGGGTGAGGGAGGGCATGAGCCATGTGACAATCCATGGGAAGAGAAGTCCGGACCCAGGAAACTTCCAGAGCTAAGGACCTAAGATCAGAGTGTGCTCTGAGTATTTGAGGATGGTCCAGGAGGCTAACGTGGTTGGAGTAAATGAGCAGTCAGGGGCACAGGGGAGATGAGCTCAGGGAGGTAGTGCGGACATGGATTAAAGAGGGCGCTGTGGTCACTGCAAAGACTTTGCCTTTTATTCTAGGGAATTTAGGAACCACGGGAGGGGTCTGAGCAGAGATGTGCCTTGATCTATCAGACTTGTGTTTCAAAAAATCTTTCAGGTTGTTATGTTAAGAATAGACTCTAGGGGGCGATGTGGGAGCAGGGAGAGCAGTTACATTACCGCCGCAGGGCAGGGAAGAACTGCCCCTTTGTTCCTATGTCTTCATATAGTTCCTGCTTCTCCCCCGCCCCACACCCCACCCACCAGGCCCCGCAAGTGCCGCCCCGACGCTTGGGCAGCTGGGATGTACCAGCTGTGTGGCTCCTGTGGCTGCTCCCTGGACCCGCTTGCCCTGCCCACGGATGCATCTTCGGGAAACCAACTCGTAAAATAATCATATTGCAAACACACTAAATCCCCCACCTCCTGCCGCAGCTGATAATTCTACCACAGGGTCATGGCAAAAGTGAAGGGTGAGGAAGCATAAGAACAGTGTGACGGCTGACCGATCACCAACGCTCCATTCAGTGCTGCAGTCTGTTGCTGAGGGTCCGGTTTGCTCAGCTCTGAAAGGTGGTACTTGAGGGGAGTGCTGTGACCCCCGCAGCCGCGGAGCAACATGGCATTTGTAGCACCTGCCTCACCGGGAAGACGTCCTAGATTCAGAAGTCTCTGTGTGTCCCCCCTCAGCGGGCACATCAACCCCAGGGCCCAGCCAGACCAGACCTGTTGGGGTGAGCTCATTACACACAAAGATGGGATCCCTCGAGCTGCTCTGTCCCCAGTGTTTGTGCCCCTTATACCTGAAGCAGCCCTCTGGCAATTTTTCACCAGATGAACCATCCGAAGCCTGTGGTTTCTTACAGGTTAGGGTTAGTTTTAGGATTATGGGCAGGTCTGGGCACCAGGGGGATAGGCGATGGAAAGCGGCTGCCATCTGTGTGAAAACAACAGCTCACCAATGCCCACAAGACCCATTTGAACCAAACTCCAGGGAGCAATCTACACAGACTCATGAGTAGGTGCCTGGGTTGGCTGAGCGGTTTGGAGCACAAAAGCCTCCACATCGGCTCGTTCATCATCTCTGATGAAGGGCCCAAAACTGTGCTTTGACGCTACATAACATCTCTCACATCTTAATATGCTAGTGAGGCGTGGACGCGCCATCACAGGACAGCTCTCCGGTTTGGGGAATTCCAGTTGCCTGTGGTTCAGAATGCAGAGTCGCCCTGTTGTTTCCCCTACTTTAACCTATGGTTTCCTGGGACTCTGTATTCCACACTCCCCATAGCTCTGATTTGGTTGGGCTTATTTCTCCCTGGCGTTTTCCTTTCCTATCCTCTCCTCTCCTCTCCTCTCCTCTCCCTTTCCCCTTTCTTTCCCCTTCCCTTCCTTCCTTAAGATTTCTTTCTTTCTTTTTTAAAAGAGAGTCAGAGTGTGAGCAGGGGAAGGGCAGAGAGAGAGGGAGACGCAGAATCCGAAGCAGGCTCCAGGCTCCAAGCTGTCAGCACAGAGCCCAATGCAGGGCTTGAACCTTCGAACCGTGAGATCATGACCTGAGCCGACATAGGACGCTTAACTGACTGAGCCACCCAGGAGCCCCTGCCTTTTTTTTTTTTATTCTTTCTCATGCTTTTATTCTTTTCTTTCAACTTTTAAATTTGACATAATTTTAGACTTCCAGATGCAAGAGTAGTGCCGAGGTTTCCTGCATACTCTGCATCTATTCATCACATACTTACATTTTCCCACATTTTCATTCATTTTTTCCTTCCCTCCACACCCCACAACATGCTTTTCTGTAGCATGTGAGAGTAAGTTGCAGATGTCTTAAATATGTCAGTGGATTTCCTTTAAAATAAAGGCATTCTCTTAAATAGCCACAGTACAATAATAACCACATTCAGGAAATTAACATTGATATGATACTATTATCTAATATACAGACTGGCTATGTAATT